CTACCCTAATAAGGGGTGACTAGGCCATAGTCAACCACGCTGGCCCAGTGCAGGTTGGTTGACTTCACACATATCTTTGAATTTCTTCGCCGATATGTGTAGTACAAACCTTTAGTAAGATTATAATCTGACGATGACATACACTATTCCTAAGGCGATCGTAAATTTTTAATACCACTTTATAATATGGTATTAAAAGATATTCAGATCGTCAAAGCTTTTAGTGAAATTGTTGAAACTATTGTAGCTTAGTTGTAAGTTACAGTTACGTCCTCAGTTGTCCATTATGCAGGTATAGTGCACAACTGTGGTAGTTTTTAGGTCAATGTTTTAAATGCACGACCTGATTTTGAATTTGCATACTTTCTGAATTTCATACACAGGCAATTGATGATATTGTACGGACTTTTTTAATAATATAAGGTGGCAAACGAGCAAGCGGCCACCTGAATCCACAAAAATGGAAAGCGACTGCTGCCCATAAACATCGGCAATTGCAGATGCGTTGACTACCCTCAATCGACGGAGGAGGAGACACACATAAAGAGGATATTCCCTCTTCCTATGCGTCTCCATCGTCAAATCTACTTTTCCTTCCCATCCTTTCCTCTTAAGAAAAGGGTGGATAGGAAAAGGGACTAAAATTAGGCCTCAATTAAAATTAGGACTATTCAATTAGTTTAGCTCTAGAATTATGTCTAATCATACTAAATACTAAAGAGCGTCACTGGCCCAGTGGTTAAAGCACTTGACTTGTAATCTACAGGTCTTGGGTTCGAATCCTGCTGTACCAATGTGATTTTAATGAAATTTTTCATACGTACATAATTTACCCGACGTTCTTACGGTGAAGGAAAACATCGTGATGCAACCTAAATATATCGGCGAAGAAATTCAAAGATATGTGTCAAGTCAACCAACCCGCATTGGGCAAGCGTGGTTGACTAAGTCCTAGTCACCCTAATTTAGGGTAATCTCCGAGCCCCTTGGTGGGGTCGTATAGTGAGCTGGTGATGATGATGATATTAAATATTAGTGTGCTAGTTTGCTTTTTTGGTTGCCTTTAAAAACTATATTAAACGGAATTACCGTTAAAAGATCAAAAGCCTATTGATCCTTTTGATTTTAAAGTAAAAAAAAAAACAATCTATTGCTAGATCAAAGCTTTGTATTAAGTTAACTGAAGCGTTTCAGGAATATTATTCATTTTTGTAATTGTCCTTCGTACCAGGTACGGGTAAATAACAGGAAACAAATACCAGGAACTCATAAATTTGATAATGTACAGTCGTGGAAATACGCGGTGTTTCACTTACAAAAATGTTATTTTGTTCTTTGAAATGAGACGAACTCAGCCTCTTAGAAATAATCTATTAAGCTACAGTGAGTTTCTCCAACGAAGATAATAATAAAAAAGCCTCATATGGCTGACTAACCTTCACGTATCGACACATTAAATTTGTATCCTATTATTCCAAGTCATTCTAACGCGTATTAAACGATGTGACAGAATACGGAACGCCGCCAGATTCCCCGACTGTACATACCAAAACAGCAGTTTCTCGCCTAAATTAGGCCAACTAGTTAAAATTTTAAATTAATATTGTTAATATTTGACTATAGGTTACGTAATGAGATTACTTCTTGTTATTCGGCTCAGAAGTAGAGCGTTTGTATAAAGTTTTTTTTACGTTGTATAGTCGGTTAAAGTTATCTGACCCGGTAGGTTAAAGTGAAGCTAAGGTGTACTAATTTATAAATGCTCCTCTGTCAATTTTAAACAGGGCGTCACAGAGCACAAATCCTTGATGGACTGTAGTTACTTGGGCATATGCCTTTATTAATACAAGGACACGAGGTGGTGTACTAAACTTGACTAACATAGTACTTTTCAAAGAAGTTACCGGTGATAAAATGTTGTTCATGTCTATATGTTTTAAATGTCTTTGTTTTGTGTTCAGCATTCGGAGGAGGGCGCACGGCGCGGCGCGGACGTGAGCGCGGGCGCCGGCGACATGTGGATCAGCGCCGTCGAGAGCTCCATACTCGCCTGGGAGGAGGTAACTAAAATTACTTCTACTGCTAAAAAAAATACTGTTTTCACACTTATGGGGATACAGAACACATACTAAACAAGAATACGAATCGATTAAATTCTAGAAATCTTACTAATATTATAAATGCGAAAGTTTTAATGGATGCATAGTTTTTAAGAGTTTTTGGTCTAAATATCTGGAAATTTATAGATTTATATGATACACTGAAGAACACATAGGCTATACACTTTTTTTTACTACTACGCGCACGGAGTCAAAGTCAAAAACTAGTAATAGTATAAATATATGATGATATATCTTGGAAGTTGCATAATAGATTAGATGTTTCAGTTAGTTTTTTGTGTTTAATTATTATTCCCCTCAATTCACAATTCAGAAGTAATTAAATTTTATTAGTCTAGGTCATATAATCACGTGGCGAAGAAAAGCATTAACCGTAACATGCTAAAGCAATCGAAAATATGATGAAATGATTCGAGAAAAGGTTACCTTTAATTCGACTTGAAAATACAGTGGTACGGTGATATGCATGAAAAATGGTACACAAAAATGTTTTTCGATGTATAGCTGTTTTAAGGTGATCACATAAACAAGGAAGTATTAATGTTGAATATAGATAGCTACAATAGTAGAGGAAGATCGACAGTATGGATGGATTGTGTGAAAGGATATGCTTAAGAAAGGTGTGGATTCAGATATGACGGCCGATAGAGATGTATGGAAGAGCGGCATATGTGCCGACCCTCCGTAAGGGATAAAGACAAGTGGATGACGACAAAGGTAAAGTAATTTCGAAGAAAGAATAAGTTGACAATATGTTATTTAGTCTTTAATCATTATAAAGCCACGGTAAAAAGGTCCAGAACTTGGTGTTACTGGCATGGATAGCAAAGTGATATATTTCTCAACAGGTGAATGTCCTGCGATATCTGATAAAAGTATTGAAAGTCGTTTCATAATTATATCGACCGATAAAAATCACTATGTATATCTTTATCTAACTTGCTACAGATATAAAAAAATCTGGATATCCAACTCATTGAGATATGCTAGATTTAAAACTGCACGGCTTATCATTTGGTATCGAATTGACACGCTGTGCGGGACAGTTTTATCATATAAGGTGGCAAACGAGCAAGTGGCCACCTGAATCCACCGAAATGGAAAGCGACCGTTGCCCATAAACACCCGTAATTGACTTAATTGTCGGTGGAGACGCACATAAAGAGGACATTTCTCCTTTCTATGCATCTCCTCCACCGTCAAATCCACTTTTCCTTCCCATCCTTTCCTCTTAAGAAAAGGGTGGAAGAGGAAAGGGACTAAAATTAGAAATCCGGCACAACACTCATCAGACGAAACGCAGAATTACTTCCACTTCACGCCTGTTTTCTGTGTGGTGGTATTGCATCGGGGGCGCCGGCCAATTCGTGTGACGATGTTAAAGCGGGCTCTACCGCTATTAAAGTTGTTTTGGTTCCTGATGTGCCAAATTCGTGGTTGTAGGAGCGATAGTCATTTGTTTGTATTGAACATTTGGTATAGGTTACGTAGAGATTACCGATTAGTG